GGCGGGATTTTCCTGTGAGCTAGTGTGCTGCGTCATTCACCTTTTTGTCTCAAAGCCTATCTGAATTATGCGAAATGAGATATTTCACATCAGTTGGATAAAGTTGGATAGCAGGGCTATTTTGGAAACTTTCCGAATTATCCGAAAGAAGCTGATTGAAATCATTCGGATAATTTTGATAATTTTGATATGCTGCGCTTTCCAAATTGAGGACAGCGAGAGGCGGCCAGATAGCACCACTTTCTTATAGGCTGTAGGGTATATATAAGGTATGCAGGGGTATCACATAAAAGGGGTATTTCTACCAGGTATACTATAGAGTATTCCAGATGGTATTCTATATGGCATATATACTAGGGGCGTTATATAAAATAGTTAAACGCGCATTCTATCGGGTATTCTAAAAGGTATTCCATCAGGTATTGTATAAAATATTCTAACAGCTGCATAGACAGGATTGTATTCGATAAGATCTCCTATCGGCTACAGGGTCGTCAAAAAGGTATATCTAGGGTACATATGGTATTCTGTATGGATTTACCTGGGGTGTCCTAAACAGTACTCCAGAGGATATTCCATAGGGTGTATTTAAATATAAGGTCCACAGAGGGTATGCATTTTGGCGGTCTTCTGTAAGGTATTCTACTACAGGGTATTCTAGTAGGGAACTCTATAAGGTTGGGTACTCTATAAGGTATTGTACAAAAGGTAATTTGCAGCCAACATGTAGGAAGGTATTCGAAAGGGTATTCTATCTGAAATTCTTCAAGGTATGTAGAGGGTTATTCTATAAGGTAGTTGTAAGGCTATTCTTCTTGGTTCCTGATTTCCTGCGTGGGAAACCCTTACCCAATAAGCTGCGATTCAACTGGTGACTGTGTTTCGGGTCATTGTTGATAGACTGTCTAAGCCGTAAAAGCACAGCAAAGAGTAAACCAGTATGGATCTTTGGGTGGGGGCAGCATGCATCCATATGTATATGTATATATATATACAAATAAATATGCATACATAAAGATATGTACATGTACATGTAAGTATACAATAATTATGCAAAATGGTGGTTTCCGACTCGGATGTCAGGGTCCACTCCAGTCAGCTTTTCAGGGTTTGTGGGTTTCAAAGGAAGGGCTGGACGCTGCGCAGGAAAAGTGGGTCGAGCCCTTCGTGGACACCTCCGAGTGGGAGTACTTCGACTTAAGTTGCCAGAGCCGGGACCAAACCGACGACAAGGCAAAGCAGTTTCTCATTTCAGATCTGCAGTGGACACGTCCCATCGCCGGCGTTGGAATGGTCTTGGTGTGTGCTGAGATGTCTGCACTGTCGAGGGAGAACCTCAATCTCGGTAGAGCGGCGTAAGAAGAGAAGGACGAGGGACGAGGACGAAGATGCAAACGATAGAGGAGGATGCGGCACAGGTAGGTTCGGCTTGGGCTTTTCTATTTCTCCGCTGTGTTGATGATCCTCTCTTGGTGAACCCGGGAGGTGCTGCATGATGCGGTAGCCTCCGGCAAGCGCTTGGGAGCCATCTTCAAGGTGCGGGTGCAGGGAAACGGGGAATGGATCGCCGAGCTATGCTGAGCTGGTGCCTCGTCCAGGAGCCCACCATCACCCCGACCACGGAGCAGGCACTCAGTCTGCTTGAAGATGGTCGGTCTCCCCTGGATGCCATTGAACGCCCTGCTGCGCACAGACGGCACTCGGGGTTCTTTCTGGGGGCAGGTGAAGGAGTTTGGCTTGAAGAAGCCATTTGGTTCGCCAAATGGTGCGATGCGAAGGTCTCATGCTCAGGGGGTTTCACGTCGTTGGACATGGGTGGGTTGCTTGGATCGGATGCCTTGCGAGAGTGATTCTGCTCCTTGCGGTCCGGCCAAGCTCAGAGTGATCCAGGGGCTGGAACGGAATCACCATCTCCAGAGACACGATCCACATTCCAGGCCTGTGTGGGGAGATCTCATCAAGGGGCGCCAGGATCGTGAAGGTTTGCGTTTTACATCTGGCAGCGTCCCCACGCCTGCAACCTGATAGAACCGGATGCCTCGGTTATTTTTAGCCGGCCCTCCTCGAGGCATCAAGCTGGGTTTCGAGAACCCAGTCTTCTTTGAGCGTCATGCCGTCGGTGGAGAGTACGGAGCCAGCTGGAAGGCTCTCTCTCTCTCTCTCTCTCGTACAGCAGACTGCGGTTGACCTAGTTGGAGTTGTTTCTGATTTCTTGATGAGAGACATGCTCGCGAAGATCTGCAGGGAGTGGGAAAGGGCAAGGTGCGGTTCCCAGACTGTGGTGTGAAATGACCACGTGGAAGGAACCCGAAGCATGTACGTAGACAGATATCTACAGGACTCAAGCGCAGCAGGTCGATGAGGTTGTGAGGCTGCACTGGTTGTTCGGACTGCAGCTTCCTGAGGTCCTGACAACCTTTTGGCCGGAGAACGAGAAGGAGCGGCGCAAAGGGGCATCGCTCTCTTTTCCTCGTTGCATCGTTCAGTTGGACAGCGGGTGACAGCTGCCTGCTGTGTGTATTGCTGGGAATCAGATCCACGACACGTGCCACTGCCGGGGAAGCAATCCGAGAATGAGCAAGCTTGCTTTCAGAAGCAGCAGCGATCCCTGAGAAAATCTTTAGGCTACCAGTAGGATTTTCTCTCGGATTGGCAACATGCGTCGAATGTAGTACAAGGGAGAAGGATGCCCAGCAACCCTGCAACAACAGAGCAATCGAAGCCCTAAAGCCCGGATAACACCCGAACCGAACCACCACAGACCCTGGCATAAGTTGCAAGCCGCAGGAAAAGCCCACGATTGTCGACGGGCGTGTGCTTCATGATGACGAGTCTGCAGTCGTCCCTAAAGCAGCACTGGCACTGGCACTGCGCCATGAGCTGAGAGGCGTTGACAAGCGTTGCATCTTGGTGGCTGAGGTTGTTTATGACAATCCGCTGGACAACGTGGAGGTGCTTTGCATTGTTTTGTCCGTAGTCAAGCGAGCAGACCCGAATGATCCGAGCGCAGCTAATCTCTGCAGCTTTCAGAGCTTTTGCAACCGGATAATGTGGCTGAACCTGATGCGCAATTTTCGTTCTAGCTACCTTTGAGGCGCTGTGAAACCGCCATATCAAGGTCCAAACCGAAAGCACGACCTGAAGAGCTCGAGACACTTAGCCGAACCCCCCGAAGGACTTGGCTCGCATCTTCTTCGATCGCTGCCTGGAGGCGGAGAGTTTCACAGGGCTCGGAGGTTGGAAGAAATTCTAGAAGACACTTTTCACTGCAGGCCAAGATTGTGCCGTATGTGGTGACCAAGAAGACCCTTGGACCGAGCCAGTTCGGCTTGCTTGAAGTATTTGTCCGGAAGACCATGGAGCGATTAGCCGGTTGGCCTCATCCCAGGACTGTCTTCAAGTGGCAGGAGGGCTTCTGGCAGAAGATGAAAAAGGTTTTCGACGCCGAGTACAAGGAGCAATGCTCTGAGCTCCCGCCCCTGAACCCTTTCAAATTCCTCGAAATCCTACACCTTCAAAGACTCAAAGCCCGCAGGATGCCTACCTGAAGGCAGGGCTGCTGGACAAGACTGGCGGGGAGCTTGTCCACTTGATCTCGGCAGCTTGGCCTTGGTGTTAGGCCGCTAGGGATGCTCATGACATGCACGTAGCACGCAGCAACATAATTCGGTAGTAGTTCCAACAGTAGTGCAAGCCGCAGCAGTTGCAGCAACAACCGCTCAACATGAGAGTGCAGTGTTGGGGTCAGCTCGAGTGGAAGGCACTTGGGACGGCCTCTCGCTCCGTTCCGACAGTCATTGCAGTGCAGATGGTAGATTGAACGTGAAAGAGTGCAGCCACAACAACAGCAGCAACAATGAATAGTGAGGTAGAATGACTTTCATCGGCAGCGAGAGAAGCACGATCTTCGATGATGTTTAGAGATAACAACAACGAACCTGGTTGTGAACTGATGCTACGTTGAATCCACTGTGTACACGAATGGTATCAGGTAGCACGAATGATGATCGCAAGAACAACATGATCAAACAAAGTGCGAGTTGGGAAGTACCAGTACAAGATTAAGAAGTGTTTTGTAGGTTTGCAAGCTGACCTGAAGGCTTGCCCGAAGATTTGTTAGCACATGCAACCTTTCGGCCGGAGAGCCTTTTGTGTGACTGCTTCACTGAAATGACACTGAATTAGAAAGATCGCAGCAAATGTATGTTGCTTGTAGAGCTCATCGAGGATAGAAGCAGGTTTCAAGGGTTGTGGAATCTTGGTTTGCCGACAGTTGAGCCAAGTATGAGGGCTGGGCCTGCTAGGCTGAAAGACACCAAAAGACTCTCCTTCTGTCACGAAGCAAGGATGCTGCGACCATGCAGATCATCCGCTGGACTGCCTGGGGTTTCAAGGGCCTTCCAGGGCTCAGGCAGAGGTTGAAGAGCGACTGCTCTGGCGCCTGGGTTTCATTTGCGATCCAGAGCCTCTGTGTTTCATTTGCTTGAATCGACTCTCAGACTCTCTTCTATCTCAGAGCTCGTGTGAACTCCGGTGCCTGGATTGCAAGAAGGACGGGCGGAGGCTTCGGCATGGCTTGCCACAACTACGACGGTGACATGCTGACCGATGAAGTGGCCCAGGCCCCTGGTTCTCTGGGTTGGACCTTCTAAGGGGCCAGGGAGGGAGCCGGGGAGCCGGATTCAACTCCAGGTGCCCAGGGCACCAGGTAGCAGAGGGTAGCAGCATCATGATGTAGCATGTAGCGGGGGCAAGCTTTCCCTCCAGCCCGCATGCAAAGCAACGTGCTCTCCGATTGTTCCAGCCACGGGGCTTTCAAGACGTAATTTGCATGCAGCCCCACTCGCGAACGTCCGGTCACGTTGGTGATTGCAGGTCCACCGAAGCCCAGGATTCATCACATCGATGCTTGACGGCACATGTCGGTGACAGCTGTTATGGGCTCAGATCCTTGCTGCCATGGTTGAGTTCATTCGAAGCAGGAATGTTTTCTTGGATTGCCCGACGAGTTGCAGTGAAGCAGCAGTCAACGAGACAAAGCACAGGAATTTGGTTGGCAAGAACGAGGATGGCTCGCTCATCAAAGAGTTCGAAGCCTCTCACGGCACTGCGAGTGCCCTAGCCCTTGCAAGAGAGGATGCATCTATGACCAGGTGTAGAACGAGGGGGTTGTGGGTATAGGGGAGTCGAGTGGTCACCTGGCAAGACCTGCCGCAGAAACAGACTTGCAGCACCGCTTCAGTTCCTGCTGGCGCACCAGGTTGCCGACCTGTGGCACATGCATCTCCGTGGAGAGGACGGGCAGGGATGACGCCATGGTTGAAGGTGTGAGGGAGTAGGCAGGAGAATTCGCTGATGAATTCGTTGGTGAGACGACATCTTGTCACATCCACAATCCGAGCGCCTGATGTGCACTGCATATTCGGCGACGCCGAGGAGACCTCCATGAACCCTCTTGGCATGGTCGTGGCGCTGTCACTTGGCAGCGTTTAAGAATTAAACCCGTGTCCGTATCGCTCATGGCATCCTCTACCACAATTGGGGAAACGACACAACCAATCTGGAGTGCTCAGCGAAGTGCCGAGGCTGGGTGCCATGGACCATGCCGCCGCAGTGGCCTTGGATCCATGGATGTCTCTAGTGGTGCCTCTCGTGCTGTTCAGGATTCAGCGTGAGTTCGACGGTTGTTTTAAAGGCCCTAAGTCTTAAGTCTTGAGTCGCAGCTCTGTGAATGGAGGACTGTTCAGCTGGGAGGTGAGGGTGTGTGAGGGGGCAATCAGCTCTTCTCCATCTGCCACTGCAGGCCCTGAATCCGGCAACCCAGGCGGAAGTAACAAAGCGCGATGCTCGGGCAGATCTCAGGGCCACGGCCAAGGCCCCCGCCTCGAGTCGACCGCAGTGACCATGAGGTTCACCGTGAGCGTTCGAGAGGCCGTCTACGAGGCGCTTAAGCTCAGTGTCTATGCAGCCTTCTTGGAAAAGCCATGACATGCTGCCATGCAGGCCTTCCGCACCGGCAACGGGACGAGGGACCTCACCGGACCCCAGGGCCTCACCACTGAGCAGTTCGTGGCCGCCCGGTGCAAAGCGCTGCATCACTTGCCTTCTACGATTTCTACGAACATGTTTCAATCTTGCATTGGTGTTCCTGTCGCCCTGTGCATCTGTCAGACTGCTTCCGGCTCTTCCGCTAGAGTTTCGTGTCACCGGAGCTTTCGCCCGGCGAAACGAGCAGCCTGTCCGCCAAGGACTGGGTTGCAGACAACCTCGCCAAGCGAATGGCAAAAGATGGGCCTGCTGAGGTCTTCACTGGAGATCAGGCAGAGGGTCCTATTAGCCTCTCCGGGCAGAGCAACCTGTAAGAAGTCTTCGCGCAGGTCCCTGAAGTTGCAGCACCATCGAAGAAGCTGCGCAGGAAGTACCAGGCAACCGCAACTTGAACTCTTGGGATCTCTGTGGCCTCCATGAGCACTACGGGAAGCTTATGAAGCCGGATCTCCAATTGATCAATACTTGACTGCTGCCCAGGCTGTGGACCAAGATGCCATGAAGGCTTTCTTCGACAAGTTCGACACCGATGCGAATGGCACCATCTCCTTCGAAGAGCGGCTTTGGCGAATTTATGTATGCCTTCCGAACATGATGCATGGCCTCATGTCTCTGGAGTCTTGGGACTCGAAGGCGCTATTCAGACAGCGCCTTCTGTGCTCAAGAGTTCTGTGAGTCCCGTCCACAGGTTTGTGGACATGACGCTCGATCTGGGCATTGCGCCTCTGAAACCAGAAGAGCTGGCGAAGGAGGCGGAACGCGGCTCGGCAAGGCAACAAGATTTTCGATACGCGTTCCTGGGAATATACCTGGGTGCATGTCACACTTCGCGTCCCCAATTGACCTGTCCTTCTCCAGCATTTTAGGTGACGAGAATCACGCTGAGTCCGAGCGGGTTTGAAAGCAAGCGCTCGATTGCCACCTCTGACGTTTCAAGCACGTGCAAATGTCAAGCAGTCTGATACGAAGAACATGCTGATGGGTAAGGCGACGAGGGATGGGACGCCAAAAGGGTGAAGAGTGCGAACGCAGTCGCAACCGGAGCTGCAGCTTGCTGGCTGCGGCTGCGACAGCAGAGGCAGCGGCAGCAGCAGCAAGAACAATAAGAGTAGCAATGAGCAGAAGAATCAGAATAGTAATAATAGTACTAGTACTAGTACTGGTGCTAGTACTAGTAGTAGCAGTAGTAGTAGTAGTAGTAGTAGTAGTAGTAGTAGCGGTAGTAGTAATGATTATAATCGTAATACAAGTAAGACTACAATAAGACTAAGAATAAGAATACCAACAAGAAGAGGAATGAGGAGAAGAATAACAAACAAAAGATGATACTAACAATCAGGACAATCATCAGACGAAGAGGTCAAATAAGAATACTAAGAAGACAAAGAATAACAAACAGAACTGATCAAAACAACAAAATAATATTAATCATAGTTTCATCGGCAAAAATAGTAATAGTAGTAATAAGAGCAAAAATAAGGAAAACAAGAATAGTAACAACGCCAACAACAATAATAATGACAATACTCCTCCTCCTCCTTCTGCTGCTGCTACTCCTCTACTACCACTACCACTACCACTACCACTACCACTACCACTACCACTACCACTACCACTACTACTACTACTACTACTACTACTACTACTACTACTGCAATGACGACAACGAGAACAAGGAGAGCGGAGGAGGAGGAGGAGGGATCAGAAAGGCACTGCCACTAGTGCTATTTCTACGATTTCCTGCTTCTAGCCGGACGAACACAGTAACGACAATGTCGACAGTTCCTACAACAACACGAGACAAAGAAGCGATGGCGACAGCGACGACAACTATGACGAAGACGACGTCGACGACAGCAGCTAAGCTATCGTGACTAAGTGACTCGGCTGTGGCTCGTAAGGACCATGAACGGCAGGCACACCCTACAGATCATCTCCCCTTTCATTGTCTTGGGCAGACAATTATGAACAGAGCTGCCAGCTGATGGCATCAACACTAATCGAACGGGGCTGTACGGTGCTGAGAAAAAAGAGCTAGTTACGCTCTGCAGCTTTTCAGAGGAGGACGAGCTGATGTATTGCTGTAGGCCGACATTGTCCTGCGCGGAGTTTCCGTGCAGGGCAATGGAAAGGCAGAGCCATCGTTTGTCATCACAGCATGGGCTCTTTCACGACAGTCATTTACATAGATTTGTCAGAGCCGAAGCAGATGCCATGATGCGGGTAGAGTTGGTGCGGCCCATCATCCAAGTTGCTGCTAACGTCGCATGGTACCGTATTGTGACAGTATAACACTAGGGTGCTAGCGAAGCCCGTGGTTTTCGGGCGCAGGAACTGTGATGAGGCCACGGCCTGTGCCAAAGCCTGCTTTTCCAATGGTTCTGCCTTCTCTACCGACAGAATCGTTATGATTCACACATTACACCCATGTGCAAAACTGTAAGATTTGAATTCGTCCGTGATTGCACATTCGTCCGTGATTGCACGGACTCCAAGATCGATTGACATGAGACGAGAAAAGCATGGGCTGCGCAGGCTTGCCGCTTTTTGAGGGTCTACGGCCCACCCATCCAAAACATTACATGCTACATGTTGGACATTGAAGGGAGGATGGGTTGAGGCGGTGGCAGTACGATGAAGCCTACTCCTCGGATGGGTTCAGCAACATCTCAGCCTGAGAAGGTGCGGTTCAGGTTGGCAAAAGATTGGGACAAATGAGACTGCACAGGAATGAGTGAGCAGCTTGACGTGGTCCGTTCACCTCGCTGCGGACCTTTCCTGCGCAGATCTTGAGCGAACTGCCCCCGCACGAGAACATCATCCGCTGCTTCGGATTTTCCATCGACGCTCCACAGCGTCCAGGCGCTTGGAGCATCCATGACCTTGGATGAGCCATGCACATCTGCTTTTCAGTGATTCAGGCGGCAGTGGCATGGTGAAGCTTCTTCTGGAGCTTTGCAGCGGCCACCTTTTGGACTTCCAGGCCGGTTCCACGAAGACTAGTGGGAAAGGTTCAGGTTCAGATCAGCTTTCGTCGAGTATTGATGACCTGTGACATTGCGATTCCGCAAGCCTATGCCTCCAGCTGCAAAGGACTCCAAAGGTGGAAAGTTGTCGCCCAAGGACATGTGCAGTGCACCTCTTTCGTGGGTTCGAGATGGTAGTCGCCGAGCATGCCACACTTCCTGCTTGGGCGAGCGAGATGACTACTTTGGAGTCTCTCTCGTGCAGGATGGTATTCTTTGAGTTACTTAGTTACTCCAGTCGGCAAACTGCTGCCGTCTTCGGCCGAGAGGAGATGATGGAGCCCTTCGTGCAGGTGACCGAAGCGGCATGGGACCGAGCACGCTTCGCGTCCATGCGAGATGCAGAGGGTGTCGGACGAGTCGACTAAGAAGTCGTTTCGACTAACCCTCTTCCGAAACGCAGGAAGTGGAACCACTGCATCAGTTTCTGCCATGAGGTCCGACATCTGCACGCACAGCGGCTGGGCACCGAGGGCTCATCAGACCCTATTGTTGGAAACTCTGCGGGCTGCTGCTAGCGATCCCAAGCGACCGAGGCCCCCAATACAGCATCGTGACCTGAAGGTCGAGAACGTTCTTCAGGCAGACAAAGCCACAAGAGAGACAACAAGTTCGGTTTTGAGCTCCTGCCTCTGCAGGGCAGTGACGAGAACTGGAAGCTCTGCGATTTCGGTTCTTGCAGTGCTCCTCTGGACGAACTGCATGTAATCTCAAGCGTCATGCAATAGTCTCTAATTGTCTTCGTTGAGTCGAGTTGACTCAAGCTCTTGATCCCGCTGTGATGTGGCGAAAGCTTCAAATCGCCTCAGTTCCCCAGTCTTGTGCTTTGGGCCTTGGAGGTACGGCCTGTGTTCCAGGACACGAGCTTCCGAGGGGCGAGCTCCAACGCCTGCAGGCAAGCGATGGGAATCTGCCTCATTCTGCCTCGACTTCTGCTTTGTGTGGGTTTAAGGATAGCCCAAGGTGATGTAGAGGTCATGGTTTCCCGTGGCTGGTTTCCTTGGAATTTTAGAGTCAGGGGATGAACATTGGCAGTTGCGCCGGTCGAGCCTCAAGAGAACATTTTTTCCACGTGAGTCGGCTGTGTTTCCACTTACGGTCTGGTCGGACGGTTTTGCCGAGGAGGAAATCGACAAGACCGTGACAATGCTGTACAGGCGCTGGCTTCCTCTGCCACACGACGGGCTGATGTGCTCTGTGCTCCTCCAGGAGCTCTGCATGCAGCTACCATTGTCAGGCCCCCCGAAATGGCGGACGTACAGCTGAACTATCGGAAGGCACCCAGCCAAGACGAGACACACTGACAGTCGGCCACGTTGTTGGTGCTCCAGAATGAAGGCGGCACCAAGAGGTATCAATCACAGAACACTGCCATGTCGAACCGTCTGTGTGAAGCAAGCTCCGAAGGCACATTCCGTTTAGCAGGAATGCGAAGCCCGTTGAGGGGGGTTATCGGTGTGTGCAGGGCTATACCATTACCGAGCAAGTCGACATTTGGATGCCGGGCACTTAAGTCGTGCAGGCAATGGTTTGCAAACCCGGTGCTGCTAGCATCGCCATGATTTTCAGGCTGGGCTGCATCCTGTATACCCTTGCTTTCTACCGGCATCCCTTCCAGGCTCGGAGTCGGACGTAGAGCCGGCATATGGCTACCACATGTTGCCACCATCCGGTGACATTGGACATATTTCCTGCAGCGTCAGGATAATGCTACGCCCATGGCGATTTGGAATGCCAAGTACTTCATTCCCTCGGAGCACCCAATGGCCAGGATCACCCTTTTGTTGTGCTTATGGTCTTCCTTGAGAGAGAAGCATCTCTTCGGAGGAGCGCGAAACTCTGCGCTCTGATCCACTGGCTGCTGGCAGCAGACCCAAAGGCCGGGGCCGCTTTCAAAACACACAAAGGAACCGACCAAAAAGGAACAAAACACGAAGCCCGTCCTGGGCCCTCCTGGCGCTCAAAATTGAGCTTCTTCCAGGACCGGCCCTCGGCCCCGCGGGTGCTGGAGGCGGCTGCGACTCCGTCAAAGCCAAAACACGGTGTTCCCGTGATTGCGAGTTTGTGGAGGGCTTGCGTTGGGTTGCATCTTTGGGCTCCGGCGACATTCTGTTTTTGAGGACTGGTGAAGATTGCTCGAGCCTTCTTGGAGCGGTCATGCAAGGTTGACGGAAATTGCAACGTCGCCGTGTTGAAGAGCAGAGCTCTGCGACAAAGCGCTTTGAAGAGCTGCAGTTCAGTCAGATGAGTCAGAGAGTGAACTCATTCTGTGGCAGGCATGCAAGGCTATTGGAAACAGCGAGTACAACGAGTTTGTCGGGCTGCTTGGCCCAATCGGTAAGGACGTTGTAAATATGTCCTGAGATGCTAGACGTCCAGAGATGTAGGCTCAGCCGCAAGACGAAGTCAATCTAAGCCGACAGCTCCCCGCAAAGGAACATCGTGTGTGACTGTCTCCCTGCCGCCACAATGCAAAGAAAAGCGAACCTATCAAAACACCATCCACAGCGAGAAGCACTGTCTCTGTCGCCGCAGCACGTTTTCTTCACCAGAGGGCTGCTTTCATGCTCAGGGCAAGTCCCCAGTTCCCGTTGGGGGGTCTTCTTCCAAAACTTGCCCATCAGAGCCAGCTTGGAGATGTCCCGCAACTGCCAGGCAGATGCCTGCCAGCGTCCGGTGCCCCTGCTCCGGTTTATGCTTTCGAATTGTGTAGAAGCCAATCTGCAGCTTCCCGTCTCCACAACGTAATGGACTCTACTCGTATGTTGGTTGGCTCACAGACTCGCTTAGAATCGCGTACCTACACACGTGTGCACATCTGCTGTTTTTTTGCATGTGTATCGCCAGGCATGTCTGGGCCTGCTGGCATTTGTTGTGCAGATGTGCATTAACTCACATCTGTATGCACGCACGCGCATACGTGTATATCTACAAATATCGCTCATTATGGCGCCACGTCGCTTCGCGATGTCCACAGACCGTACCTGGCACCTCTGTAACATTCTGCGGCCTTGCCAGGGACAGAATCCTGCAGCACGATCGCATCTACGGTGCTAGGCCAGGCGGTTTCCTGGGCCGAGGGGCTGCCAGCGAGTTTCGCTAGACAAGGAGTACCAAAGAGCCTCCGAAAGAATGGGTGCCTGCCTGAGCAAGTCTGTTCGAAAGGGCGTCACAACAGCGTTTTCACACTGATGCGTGACAGCCGGAATAACCAGAACAGAAACGCAGGAAAGCTTTGCAACACATGAGCTCGGAGGCGAGCTGATGGGAAGTTACAGGCCCAAAGAGTTGCGGATTCTCGCCGCCGAGGATTTGAAAAACCTTCAGTCAGCTGCTGCTGCAGCCTTGAGCCAAGATTATTCCAGACCTCCAGACCGGGAAGTCGCTGTACCTCGAGCTTCAAGAAGCAACGTTTGTCGCCGTTGACCTTCATCTTAGAACTACATCCACGCGGACTCTAGGACAGGAGGTTGTTGTTGTTGTTGTTCTTCTTCTGTTTTTTTATGATTGTTGCTATTATTGTTATTCTCATTATCACCATGATCTTTATTGCTGTTATTATTATTATTATCATTATTATTATTATTGATATGATTATTCTTGATTACTCGTATTAGCTCGGCTCTGCGAGGTGGCAGCGAGCCACAGCAGCGGTCAGAGCAACGGCAAAGTCCGCGAGAAGGAGGGGCCACGGCCTCAGCCTACCTTTGGTTAGTAGGGAATGGAAGAATGGTAGTAATGGTACTTATAATAGTTCCCATTCCTCCATTCCCTACTAACCAAAGGTAAGTCAGAGCCTCACCCCATCTGCAGAAGACGGCATTTATGTTTATTGAGGGGTTTAGGGAGGTTTAGGGTTCAGGGTTGTACTTCTGCCAATGTAAGAAGAAGTTTCGTAGCCGCACCTCCCCCCATCTACTTCCAAAGATCTGTCGCAAAGGCATCACTTTTAATTTATCCAGCTTGGGACTCTGAGGTTTGATGTTCGGTTTGCGCTGTCGCCGGACACCAACGGAAGTGCAGGCTGCCGCGCAGCTTGTGGTGAGCTGGCGTTTGCACAACCCTCCCCTTTGTTTCAATGCAGGCTATGCGCAGAGCTCTCAAAGAGGGCAGCGCCAGGTTGGCGGGGAATCGGGAAAGGGCACGCAGCTAAGGCTATGTACAATGTCGTTGCTATGGCAGCTTCTGTTGCTAATCAGGTTTTTGGAAGAGGCCTGAGTTATATGATGTTGGTGCTGCGAGGCAAAAGAGTTACATGATGAATGACATGACGGGATGAGCGGTCAATGCGACGTGGCCCATCTTCGCTGCATTGCTACACCCTGACCAGGGTTCGTGTTCCAATTCCCAAATACAACGCCCAGTGATGCCCAGTGATATGAAAAGTCATCCCTCCGGTGCACGCAACCCGATGCTTGCGGCGATACAGGCTGCTGCGAAACCTCCAAGTCTGGGACCCTAGTTGTATGATGATTGCTTGTTTGGAGGCCATTAGGTCCACTAGAGGAGGGTTCGTTAGGATGTTCCAGCTCCGCTGGCCTTTGTATTGCTGTCGGCTCATGGTTCATTCCTTCCCGGAAATGTGAACAGCATGTCCCTAGCCACCACAACTGTCGAACCACCACACCTTGTGGTGTGCAAAAGTAATGGACAGTTGTTACTTGTTTGCATTCTGTGCCAGACTCGGAGCTTCGGTCCAGAATCGTGTGGACAGCATTTCCCCCCAACCACAAGGCCTACAAGAGGATCTGCTATCCCTCGATGCTGGATCTCACCAGCCAGGCCGTTTATTCCTTTTCTCAGATCCTGTGTTTTGGCGGGGGGGCTCCTCCTCGAACTCAGCCCTGCAGGCTTTCACCACGCTGCCTCCACTCCCGCCCTGGACGATCTGATCGCCCTGGGCCCGGCGACGCCGCAGGGGCCCTGAGCTCCAGCTTTGGGGTTGCGCATCTCCAGGATTTGTGGGTCGAGGCTTCTCCACGCTTAGCCGAGGTCCCGGGCGAAGAGCGCCCCGGCAGTGGCGACGCCGGAAGCAGGCTCGAACTTGACAGCGCTGCCCGGAGGGTGCCATGCACAGTGAGCTCGCTCTCTGCCTGTCTCTCTCTCTCTCTCTCTCTCTCTCTCTCTCTATGTCTCTCCTTGCGTAAGCACCGGTCTCCATCCATCTGCCTGTCAGTATGTCCAATGTCCACGTGTCATGATACGGGCATGCAGACATGCTCACAGACAGGCTTGCTTCCGTACACACATGCATCCATCCATCCATCCATCCATCCATCCATCCATCCATCCATCCATCCAACCCTCCATCCATCCATCCATCCATCCATCCATCCATCCATCCATCCATCCATCCATCCATGCACTGATGCATGCCTGCATGTACGCATACATACAGTCTGTCATAACACGGATGGCTGGCATGTCCAAAATGTCAACCAGAAGTTGTATCGCGAGAGCAACGCCGCAATGCTCGGAAATCCCTCCGATCGCCACTTGACAGGTGCCGGTCAGAACCTCCTTGCTTTCGCAGACTTCAGCAGCATGCCGCAGCAGGCGGGTGCTGCTTTGGCATCTCGTCAGCGGACTTGCAAAATCTTCCAAGGTGCCTAGAACAGATGCAAGGAGGTGGTTAAACTTTCAAAGAGCTGGCTAGCATGTGTGAGGCCCCGCCGATGCCCGCCACATCGACTGCAGGACCGGCTGCAAGTCGTCACGAGCGAAATCAGTTTGGGAGCCCCCTTCATGACATATCGCCACGAGAGGGCTTCCGACGCCAAGTGTGGTTTACTTGTGGGGGCACAGGATTCTCTGCACCTGCGGCTCCATTGGCTGCGAAGCCTTGGCTCATTGGCTATTGGGTGTGGCAGGGAAGGGCACTTGTCGTCGTAAATATCTCTGCGAAAGGCCTTGATGGTTCGGAGAGCGTGGACATGTCATGTGTGCCAGGCCCGGGTTCGCGGATTTCGGCTCCGCGCCAACCTTTGACGATCCTCGGCTGTAAGTTGCAAGATGCGGACGGAGCAGGAAAGAAAGCCTCCAGGGGCGGTTTCTTTTCAGATGTGAGAGCGGCATCCTTCAAGCAAGGCCTTCGCGCCGGCGCCGGCTCAGGGAAAGGCCGCCGCGCCGGCGCCGGCTCCGCGGCCGGCCTCCGGGCCTTCGGCCGGACGCTCAGTGCACGGACGCCGTCCGTAGGAGGCTTCAAAGAGCCCAGAAAGGGGGGGGGGGGCGGTGCGGCGGTGCCTAGCTGCCTACAGCTCGGCTCGGAGCCGAGGCAGACCTGCTTGACTTGCTGTGAGCCGAGCAGTTGGCCAAGCATGACCTGGAGTCTCTCAGATCGAGTTGAGCCTAAAGAGTGCACACTGCTTTCCGGTGCAGTGACTCCTGGGTTGCGCGCTTTCCTAGACAGACGTGTGCCAAGCACCTTCTGTGAAAGACAGGTCCGGCTCGGCCCCCACTGGGGTGTTTAAGCAACTTTGCCGGCTTCAAGACTCGGAGCTCAAAGAGTTCTGAAACTTAAAACACTTGCGCATGCCACATGAGCATCGCCCTGCTGTCTTCAGAGCCAGTGCTGATTCAAGCGCAGTCCTAGGACAAGCTGATTTGTTCATGTTCCAAGGCTTTGTGGGCTAGAGCAGGATCCTCGATCGCGCCGATGGACAAAACTTAATGGTGACCACTCGTGCAGGTAGCGGAGTCTTGGTGATGACGTCAACTCTCGAAGTCAGTTGGAATCCCATCTCACGCACTCCTACACTCCTGCACAGCTGAAAGCCGCTTAGATTGCCGTGATTTTAGCCTCGCCTTTGTGATCATTTATGTGCATAAGCTGCCTGAACACTTGCGGCACGCAGAAATTTGTTCATTCCCTTACTAGCACATGTGTTGTAGCCCACATTCGGGCCATCTGCGCATGGTGTTTTGCTATAGTTCATGTGATCAAACGCAGTTGATGTGACTACATGCCCGGTAAGAAAATTTCGTGGTACTATACTTGTTCCGGATGGAGGACTTGTGGAGGAGTCTACGCTGGAAAGGGGTCTTGGACAGGTTTGTTGATTGTTGTAAGTAAACAACAGAGTGCGACGAACTTTGGGACCGCCGCAGCATAGTCTCGTCCAGCACAAGTGAATCAGCGGGCTTTCCGGAGGCCTTCAACCTCGAGTCTTAGCTCCCAAGATGCGTACCCACGAATGTGTACATGGCTCCACATGGCTCCACATACACACACACACAGAGATATAGATCAGAGATGTGCATGCTGTACACGTGTGTACATGTGTGTCTACATAAGCACGTGCATGAGGGTCTCTGACAGCGACTTGTTCAGTCCAAAACTCCTTTCCATTAGCATGCCCGGCAATAAATTGTCGTCGCATCCGTTAGAGACTCTGAGAGGAGTACGCGGAGTACACGGAGTGAGGAATACCCCAGCCCTAGCCTGGATAGCGGAGGAATTATCATGCAGGAATGAGCTTATGGTACCATACTTGTTCCGGGCGGCGGGCTTGTGGAGGAGTCTACGGGGGAAAGGGGTCTTGGACAGGTTTGTTGTAAGTGAACAACGCAGTGTGCGACGAATTTTGGGACCGGCGCAGTAGGCGCGGATCGAGGAGGTATGAAAGTGAGGATGTTGTGACTACATTACTACATGTGACTACGTGCGATTTGATGGGACTTGACCCCACTGCTCGTAGCCCAGATGCCGCCGCTCCCTCGTTCGGGACACAACCGAAACTGACGCCGCTTCGACTTTGCCGGGCACGCCCGGCGCCAGCATGCACCACCATCGCTTCTCCCGACACACCGAGAGATGCCCGATAGCAACTCTCGGCCACAGGGAGGCTTTACACCACGCTCACCGGACTTCCGGGCACACAAGCCCACTGATGTGCCGAGCCGCTGTCCTGGCAAGATGTCCGTCCGCCCACCGAGCTCCATGCCCAGCAAGCGCAAATCATGTCCCTACCTTGCGGCACACGCAACCTGACTGCCCGTACTCAGCAGGCCTCGCGATTGTCGTGCCACCAGACCTTGCTCGCGGTGGCCCACCCGCCACAAGCCACTGGCAACTCCGCGACGACAACCCGGCACGGACGCCGCGTCTGACACCGCTCCACAGCGCGTGCGGGCATGGTTGTTCGCGCTCATGCCGGAGCGCGGCGCGGGGCAGCGGTGCATAGGGCTCCTGCAGTTGCCCAAGCTACCGCCTTGACAAGGGCTGCGGCTCGGCGTGCCCGCGAGGGTCTGTTGACTGGGTCCGGCCGCCAGGTCGGTGTGGTGGCGTGCTGCTGCGGCTTCACTCAGCAGGTCAGCCCATCGCCCAGACCGAAAAAGATCGCAGCGCCTGTCGAGCTCTGCAGTGTAGGAGCGCGGGACTCGCCAGGCGAGCGGTATACCATAGAGCAGCATTCGGGGTGCCAGGCAGAAAGGTTTCCACCTGCATATTTCCTCATCAAGGCAGGACGGATGCATGCACAGCAAGCCGGAGCCCGCCGCGCAGCGCTGTCCGCGAGCTCCCACAGACGCGTGCGGGGGCAGTTTGCAATGTGAGAGCGCGCTCACGGCAAGTGGCTTGCAACGACATTGAGGGCGGCGAGACCAATCCTCAGCCCGGCCGGCTTCTGCAGCCGCGGCGGTGGCTTGTGCGCGACGTCTGCGCGTGGGCAAGGCCGCCGAGTCGATGGGCGCGGCCTCGGGGTCTGGGGTGGGGCGGCGGTATGGCGCCCACGCCCACGCCGGCACTGCCCGCTGCCTCTGCTCGGTGCGCGACACCGCAAGAACCGCGTCACCAGCAGCAGTCCGGACGTCGGCAGGCGCAATTGTAACTGTAGGTGCATTCGGCGGGACGTCCTCGGTGCGGGTGTGGGAGTCGTGGTGCATCAGGGTTCAAGGCGCGGTCGATGCAGCGGCCCGGGTCGATGCGCTGAGGCCCTGGGTCGCCGCCGAACTTGACCGAAGGCCACGGAAAGCATCGCAGCGGGCGTCGAGCCGTGGCGGCCAGTCGGCCAGTCCACCGCAGCAGCTGAGCAGCGCTTCCTGCGCCAGTGTAGGCATGTCTAGGCGTCAGCGAGCTGGCGCAAGGCCCATCCCACATGGACCATTGTTCCTCGTGTTTTTTTTCGTTCCGTTCTGCAGTATCATTCGCAGTCGGCATGTTGTATACAAACACTTCCACCATGCAGCACAGTGGACAGCACGCCGCCCGTGCACGAAATGGGGCGACTATCACGGGGCGGGGGTTCGGTTCGCGTGCCAGAAGGTCACCCAAACGTGGCCCCGTGCCGTCGCATTCGTCCGCTCCCGCGGCGAGGGAGCTCGACGAAGCGCAGGGACTCGACGGAACTGTGAGTTGGGGCAACCCGGTGGCAGCACAGGACGGAAACGCCAGGCGGCGGTCGCGGCTCGGGTGCGTCATTCTGCGTGAACGTGCGCAGGGTGTAGTCAAAAGTCTGCTGTCACTTCTCGAGCCGTGGACTCACCAGCAAACCCCACACCATGTAATGTGCAGATCTGGCGCAGCTGCATTCGCTTTTCTGTGCCATTGCATGCGCTACCATGCATGTGTGCATGCAAACATGCGGCATCTCTCCGTATCGGTCCGTGTGGTGATGTGTGGTGCCACCAATGAGCACATCCGCATCCTCATCGATGACAGAGAGGACGCCCGCTTGCTGCATGGCGCCGCCCTCCGGCTGGCCAACGCGCAAGTCCCTCTTGTGGTGCTCGACAGCGCACTGTCGCGCGGTTCGTCGCGCTTCGCATGCAGAACGGCCAGGTCCGGGCGTTTGCAGCCGGGGAATGCCGGGGATGTACTGCGGCGTCTGCTCGCGCAACATGCACCCCATTTCCAACAGGCCTGCATGCCCCACCACTACGGCCTCAGCATACGGAGATCAGTCAACCATTTGCTCCGAGCGGCCACGGAGGCATGCCCTCGTGCGACCGTCCTCTCCGTCGACAGCGTCGGCGCCCTTGATCACGTCCCACGGGGGTCAATGCTTGGAGCTCAGCTGTCCGAGACGGAGCTCCAGCCTGTGCTCCCACACGCGCGGATACGGCGGCAGTATCGGCAGTTCTATGCCACGCCCAGCGTGCACAGTCGGTACGACGATATACGACGATGATGGCCATCCGTCAGCCATCTCGTGGACGGTGATCCTCGACGATGTCTGTTGTAGCACCCGAGCGAGTCTGCACGCTTTACGATGCTCTCGCAGCGGCGCTCTAGCGCGGAGACCGGATCCGGCTCCACGAGGGCAAAATGTGGAACTGGATTGGAGTTCCGCCGGCTGGAGAACCGCCTGGCATCATGGGTTGGTGATTGGTCTGTGCCAGGGCGCCAAGTGCTGTGCTCGGTACCCCCCTCGGGCACGACGCTTCTATCGCCCGGCAAAGCGCAGGACCAGCTCCTCCTGTGGCTCCCGAGTTTGGATGACTTGCAAGCGGCCTGGCTCCTGCTGCAGTCCTGCACCGCCCCGTGCTAACTACCTGTCGCGCTGTTGCCCCCTTCACTTCACCGCTGCGCACGCGGCGTGACATGATGCGGCAAAGTCCCGTTGCCCTGTTGAGAGCTGCCCGCTCAGAACAGAGGTTCGGGGTCTCGGCCTTCGCTCTGCCACCTACGCGCGCTTCGCCGCACACTGTCGTGTTGTGATACCCTGCCCGTAATTCACGCGCGTACCCCCGGTGCGGCCGCCCGACAGCTCGGCGCCTTGCAAGGCCACCAAACCTTCCCCTTTGTGGCTGCCGCCGCCCTCGCATAGGCCCACTTGCGAAATCGCAACAACTTTCCGCCCGTGCTTGCGATGCGCGCTCATTTGAGACGCACCTTGTTGACCTCACACCTGCGTTTCGAGCGCTGCTCCGCTCGCATGCCGAGCCCTTCGCGCGCGCGGTCTTTCCATTGTTGCTCGCGCAATCGTTTTTGACAGGCTTCTAATAAAACAAAAAAACTTATTAAGCTTGTCAAATCGTTTGGGGAAGTGTTTTTTTGGCAAGACAATCCCCAATAAGAAATGGTATGTACAGCGGGAAACCAGGGAGGAAAAAAATTTTCTCCTGGGTTGTTTGCAGTCTCCCTACAGCTTGCGTGCGAGTGATGGACAATAATGTCCACTTCATAAGAATAACACCGGGGCGGTCCGGGATGGATTGATTTTAAGCAAGCCCAACAGAGACACCTCTACCCCAAAAAAATTGGATTTCCGGGGCGGGACTTATAATTACGAAGAGTTTATCATTACGTTCCGGGGGTTGGAATTCATAATTACGGGGGGGGGATTATAAGAATAAAGT